ATTTGTGAAACGTGCAGATATAGGGAATTGAATATAAGCCCTCGTTATGTAAAATTAATTTAAATTCGGGTATAGCCCTTCGGCTAAATTACCCAACTACGTCTTTTTGTTGAATATTGAAATTCACAAATGTGAATTAGTAGTATGAAACAAATTTGTTTTTGTTATAACTTTTGAATTAAGGTTGGGCTAACGAAAAAAAAGGTTGGGCGAACCTGGGGTAACCTTGGCCAAACGAAAGAGAGTGTAAAAATATTGAAATTCACGAATTTAAATGTTTAGTATGAAACAAATTAATTTTTGTTATAACTTTTGAACTAAGGGTGGGCTAACGAAAAAAAGGTTGACCTAACCTGGGCTAACCTTGGCCAAACCAATGAGTGTAAAAATACTGAAATTCATAAATTTTAATTATTTGTATGAAACATATTTATTTTCGTTATTACTTTTGAACTAAGGCTGGGCAAAAAAAAGGTTTCGGCTAACCTTGGGCAATCGAATGAAATTCATAAATTTAATTATTTAGTATAAAAAAATTTTTTTTTTTATAACTTTTGAACTAAGGTTAGGCTAACGAAGAAAAGGTTGGGCTATTCTGAGCTAACCTTGGACAAACGAACCGGCTACTTTTCGTTCGAAAACTCGCACATGGGGTGCCAACTTCACACATTGAACATTTTTTTTGCTATAACTTTTGAACTAAGGGTAAGCTAACGAAAACAAAAGTTGGGCTATCCTAGGCTAACCTTGGGCTAACAAACCTGCTACTTTCCGTTCGGAAATTCGCACTATGGGGTGCCAACTTCACATTCTTGGCTAACCTTGGACAATCGAATGAGAGCCTAAAGATATTGAAATTCACAAATTTAAATTTTTAGTATGGAAAAAATATTGTTTGTTATAAAAAACTTATGAACTAAGGATGGACTAACAAAAAAAGGGTTGGGCTAACCTGGGCTAACCTTAGGCAATTGAATGAGAGCGTAAAAATATTTAAATTCACAAATTTTAATTTTTAGTTCTAAAAATCTTGTTTTTTTTATAACTTTTGTATTAAGGGTGGGCTAACGAAAAAAAAGTTGGGCTGTCTTGGGCTAACCTTGGACAAACCAACCTGCTACTTTTCGTTCGAAAATTCGCACTATGGGGTGCCAACCTCACACATTCTTGGTTAACCTTGGGCAATTGAATGAGAGCGCAAAGGCATTGAAACTCACAAATATTAATTTTTAGTTCTAAAAAATTTGTTTTTGTTATAAGTTTCGAATTAAAGGCTGGCTAACAAAAAACAAAGTGGGGCTATCCTGGGCTAACCTTGGGCAAACGAACCTGATAGTTTTCCTTCAAAAATTCGCATTATGTGGCGCCAACTTCGCACAGCTCATATTTAGTGAAGCCAAAATCTCTAAGTACGTTTGTAGGCGGTGTTTCGTTAGGTGAAACTAACTAAATAGTTTTATACTTAGGATTTAGTAATGCGAAGATAAATAACGGTCATACTCGGCATATATGCATCTTCGTTGGCTTTCAATGCAGATACTTTTATTGGTGTCAATATTGGTTCCCAAACATACATAGATATGTACGAATTCCTCAAAAACTTCAAAATTTTAACTTTCAAGTGGGACATGGGAGCCTAAATGCGAATGCGCTGATTGTTTGTTTGATGACAGGAGCTACTTCGTTTTGGTGTCGTTCACCAACATACCTCTGTTTCTTTATCTAAATTCGAGAAGGCAGTAAATACGTTCCTTTTATTCTTACCGAGGATGTCGATGTCATCGGCAGACAACAGAAATTAAACGCTCTTGTCAGTGCTCCCAAATGTGCAACCGAGTTTCTGGGCACGCTTTCAGCATAAAATGAAAGAGTGTAAGATCTATTTATCTAGTTATGTATGTACACAAGGAATTAAGAATGTGCCCGTGGGAATGGGATAATTCGCGATCGTAATTGGGGGAGCGAGCAAAGTAATTCAGGATGCCGTAGTAAAATGGTATAACCCGTTAAATCAAAATGTCGAGAAAAAACCCTTTCAAAAGTTTCGATAGTTTTCCGCAGTCAACAAAAATAAATAACGACTTAAAAATATAACAAGAACAACCTTAATCGTTCAGACAAACGTTCGTATTTTCAATACAAACAGCTAACGCAATCCCCATTTAGCTTAAGAAAATATTTCTTCAAATGCTTGTCTTTGTTTTAAAAATAACTGTTTTATTTTAAAAGGTTTTAAATTATCATGATTTATTTTTATTTGTACATGTTTATGAAAATTATTAATAGCTAAAACCCATATACAAATGTAATTTGTTAATATTATGAATTTATATACATACACTGGTGGCAAATAAAATAGGCTCTTAGCGTCGGTCTACCTTCAGTCCTTCATATCCTAAATACTCATGCCAATTGCGGTAACCGACGGATGCCATTCGTACGAATCTAATCCTATTCTCATTGCCATAACAAGCGAGTTAAAGGATTTATTGGATACCGAAATAGGCATGACTATGTATGTACAGTAGCGTGGTCAAAAATGCATGTAAAAAAGTAAAGTCGGAATTTTTATGCCCTCACACCCTAGGAGTGTTCTATACCAAAATAATATACCCCTATTTTTTTATTTTGAACTCAAAAAATATTTAGAGGTCGCTCAAAGCGCTCAAAGTTTTCCATGTATTTTATATGAAAAAAAACGCTTTTCGTAGAAATGGAATAGGTTCCTGGAAAATCAATATTTTTCGATCGAAAAACCCTGTTTCTGTTCAGAATATACCCAGTATTAATACCCAATTGCAATTGTTTGACAGGTACATTTGGCAAATATTTATATGCAAATCATGTTTGAAATATATATTTTTATAATTAAGAATTTAAAAACTTAAATCAACTATCCGACCAAAATCTTACTTTGCCTACCAACCTACCAAATGAAAAAGAAGCGACAAAATTTGATCGGAAAATACCACTAGTGGCAACACTGGATCATATCCGTCGTATCAAAACACATCTGTTTTTTAATAAGTTTCACTTCTATTAGGTAACTGACATAACTTCCATGGGCCCGTGGACGTTATTTCAGACTTAATTTCCACAAGGATCAGACATAACTTCCATGGAAGTTAAAGCATGACATGAGAAGATTTTCACAAAAATCTCATGGAAGTTCCCAGCGGGAAAATGTAATGTATAGTAAAAAATAATCAGTAAAACAACCCTTTTCACATTCGATAATGCATTTTTTCCCCCAGGGCGATGTCCTAAGAAAAGTGGGGCATTCAATTTTGCATTACCTAGTATCGAGAAATCAATGGGATTTAATATGAAATTTTTGCGACTTTTTGAATACATTACTATGCTGATTACATATTAAACAGTAATTGGATCTTAAACTCATAAGAAATACATTAGATTATTTATCACGCATGAAATGCATTACTTCTTTTCCCACTGGGTTATGTCTTGACTTAACTTCCACAATAATAAGATCGCCACACACAGAGAAAAACTTA